CCAGCTCCATTGATGTTCAAATTTACAATGAGACCCCAAAGTATGGCTCAATAAGTCACAATTTGTGACATTGAAGGTGGGAGCTCCGGAGGTAATCACTTTTTGAATTATTGTTGGATCCTCAAAACAGGCTAAAATCCATTCAAAAGGTTGGTGTATCCAATAATTTGTTACACTTTTAATATATATTAGGTATAACAACACTAGAATACCACTCATATTTCTGTGCATTGTCTTCAGTCGTAGGCTACTGGTGGATGTATTTTATCCAGATTTTATCTCCATCGTTATACCCCTCTGTCTCCTTCGACTACTTCTTTGCTTGGAGCAATGAAGTATGAATTCTTCTTGACAGCAGTGGTATTCTTCAGGAGCTATTCTTTTCAGTCATAAAACTAACTACCTGAAGACACACAGTCTATTTTGAGTTTTATTCTAGATTTATAATTGCCAATCTAATTTCAAAATCTAAATTTGTTGATATTTTCACCTATTTTGTTGTTGTGCCCGCTTTCAGGCAAATCTTGTGGCACACTGTCTCGAGACTATGCAAATCTGCTTCATATACTTCCCAGGTTGTAGGTATTAGCAACTCCCATCCACAAAACAAAGTACAGCTCTCTATTTGAGCAAATTATTCTCTACTAACTATTATATTATCTCGGCATTGCATACAATAAATTTGCCTTTTAAATTAAATACAAGACCATTTTCTATTACAATTTAAACATTGACAAGTAACCCAACATGAGCGTCCAGAGGTAGGATGTTTTATACGTGGAATTTCCAATATATTTTCTGTTGTGGGCAGTTCAGGTGTATCAGTTTCTGTTTCGCAACATAAAGGATGGAACTGTGGAGTTCCCGTTAACTTATATAACACCCCCACCCCCCAAACCCCCCAGTTTGGTGAGGTATCCTTTCTCTCCAAGGTGCAAAATATACTTTTTGTAAAGTATCCCCAGGGCTATCTGAAGCCACTGGTATAGACTATTTCTTACTTTCCTTCTAGAGTGGGTCATTCAGTCGTCTTCTGGTCCTTCCTTATAGTCATTCCGAGACTTCCTGGATTAGATACCACAGTCCATTCCGTTGAAGGCTGCTTCACGGGTCCTTTAACTTGAGTGGCGTGAGTCCAACCCTTTTCAGCTGTCTGTACCGCAGTCTCTGTAGTTAGAAGAACAAGAAATGGTCCCTCCCATCGAGGGGATAAGCTATCCTCTTTCCAATTTTTAATTATTACTTCATCTCCAGGTTGTACTTTGTGTACTGTAAATCCTAAAGTCTGGGCTAATATTCTTTCATTCTTAATTTGTTCAGGGTTTGTTTTTTGGTTTGTTTGTTTGTTTGTTTTCAGTGATTTTAATATATTGTTGAATTGTCATGTCTTCTATTAATGGATGCCCTAAAGGCATACTTTGGGAATATGGTATCCCATATAGTATCTCGAAAGGTGAGAGACTTGTCTCTGAATTTGGCATTGTTCTAATATGGAGTAAGGCTAAGGGTAAGCATTTAATTCGTGAGAGTGTAGTTTCTAACATTAATTTAGATAACTGTTGTTTTAAGGTCCGATTCATTCGCTTTACTCATCTAGAACTTTGTGGATGCCACAGAGTGTAATATTCCCAAGTAATGCCCAGAGCTTCTGTAACCAACTTTATGATTTTAGATGTGAAATGAGTACCTTGATCCGAATCAAATGCTTTTATAATTCCAAATTATGGTATAATTTGATCCAGTACTATTTAATTACTGATTGAGCAGTCGCTCTGGTGGTAGGAAAGGCTTCTACCCAGTGAGTTAATTGATCTACCATTACCAGCAAATATTTATATCTTCTAGCTTTTGGTAATTCTATGAAATCTATCTGGACCCT